ATGCGATCTACCTGCAGTATCCTACCTTTGCAATCGATGCATTGGGCACCACTTGCTGTAACGTTAGAAGATACTTTCTACCAGTTCAAAGTATAGAAGCCTCATAGTGCCCAAAAATTACGGCCAACAGAGGCTAAAGGATATTTTCTGCCCAATTCAAAGTATGGAAGCCTCAAAGTGCCCAAAAATTACGGCAAAAAAGACAGGAGTATACTTTTTTTGCCATGTCCAAATATATAATAGCTTAAAAATGTCTAAAAACGACAGCCGAGAGGAAGGATACTTTTGGCCTGATCTCACTGTATGGAAACCTCACACTGCCTAGTATTCTAATCTGTGTGTATGTGTGTGTGTGTGTGTGTGTGGGGGGGGTGGTTAAAGACACTATTTTTGCAGCTTTCTTAATTATGAAGGTCTTGAAGTGCCCAAAAATCAATGAGTGAGTGGTAGTATGTTTCTTTATTTAAAAGTTTGGAACTCTCCAAGTGCCAACATCTCCCACTAAAAGAGCTTTGGAGGGAACGTAGGAGTCACGTTCTGCTCTCGCTAAAAGTATGGAAGCCCTAAGATAGATTTATTTGATCTTACAGGCAGAATTAACTGATTTTGAAAATAATTCAAAGGCTCCGCTGCACGTTTCAGTTTTACAACATTTCACATCTTAATATTTCCATATTTCCATGAGCAATAGGGTTATTTTGTTAGATGAAACTGTAGAAAATCTGATGATTTTATTTCTTTCTGAGTTAATTTGAACTCTGACATTTGGAAGTGAAGCGTTCAAATCTTTAAAACCTGAAACAAACTGAAGGGGCCATCCAGCTGCGTTCACAAACAAGACTCTTTAAATGATGCCAGTCGGAAGAATCTCACTTGTTTGTTGTTGCTTAAAACTGAAATGCTTCTCTGGAACTCCACAAAAATTAAAAGTCAACGTATACGCAGAAGATCATCTTTCATAGAAGATCATCTTTCACAGATACGGTTACATGTGAGTGACTTGTTTTTTCTTTTCCGTGTGAAAACAAATTTCTTTGCTAGTTATTAATGAAAAGTTACTTTCTATCAATTTTACACAACTCTGCTTCATTTGGTTTGAGTTTAGCAGCGTTTCATCATAAAAGTCCAGTTTAAAATAAATAAACAAATGTGTTAATGCTCAGTATGTTTTAGGCATGACTCTCAGCTACTACCACACCAGACTTTAGGTGAATATCTGTAAAACAGACTGAGTTAGGACCGTTTTTGTGGGGGTTTTGTTGAGGCAGGTGATGAAGAGGATGGGATCGTTAGTTTAAACTTTGGAGGGAAAAATCCGTGATTTAAAGAAATATTTCAGGAAAGTGTGAGGGTTTGATTCTGTCTGTCCTGTTGTGGTTTCAGAAATGTCGATCCGAATTCCCGAATACCGCTTACTTCCTCTCTGGCTCTCTGCGCCTCAGACAAGCATGGATGGTTTGGTGTCAGCCTTGTGGTACCGGATCTTCCCGGAGCGGCACTTCGTTGGACGTAACCACAAGCTGGATCGGGTCTTTGCCCAGATGCACCAGCAGCCCGGGCTGGCGGGGCTGCAGATCTGCCCGTTGTACTTCGACCAGGTGACCTGCAACCTTCCGACGGCGACCCGAGGGTGAGCAGTGAAACGTTCAAACTGCTGCTGACCTTTGACCTTTGCGGTGCGACTCCTAACTCCTGTCTGTGGTTTTAAAGCGAGAGCTATAGTCTCAGTCTGCGCTGCTTCGACTCCTGGGCAAATTTACGGACGCAGAAAGAGAGAACGGTGGCGCAGCGGCGGCACCACGGCACCTATGAGGATTATCGACCAAACACCGGGATCTACCTGAGCAAACTTTGTAAACTTCACGACCTGCACACCAGCGGGAGCATAAACACGCAAAAATTCCTCTTCCTGATGTACGGCTACAAGGACTGATCGAGCCATTGCTTTCAAATTAATAAATATTTTACTAACAGACCAAAACATGGGTCAGATTATAATCTGAAGTTTTTCTACTCAAAGGTTTCATCAGGATAAAAATGATCTGTTTTTTATCGGGTCCTAAAGGGCCCGTTTGCTGCTCTGGAGCATACAAGTGTATGTTAACACAATGCCAAGATGGAACGACATCAGCAATGAAGCAACGGTTGCTGCCCGTCAGTCTGGGAAGGGTCAAAGGTCATTTGGAGTCCATCGTTCTACAGAGAAAAATATTATTCACAAGTGGCAAACATCTAAGAGAAGTGGCAATTCACCCCGAAGGTCAGACCGTGCAATGCTCTGAGAAACAAGCTTCACCTCAGGCTCTACAGGCCTCAGTTATCACGTTAAAGGTCAAAGGTCACATAGGACAAATAGAAACGGACTGAATTTAAGGCCCAACATGAATCTAAGGAAAGTTTTTACAAAGATTTACAAAGAAAATGACTTTTTTCACTGACGAGTTGATTTGGTCAAATTTCAGCATCTTAGTGAAACTGACTGAAACCGTTCGTTAACGATGATCAGCTGTGGCGACCATCTTGAATAGATTCACTCCAAAATTATTAGATTTTATTAGGGTTTCATTCAAATCCATCGCTCACGAGATATTTTGCTAACAGACAGTCAAAGACATTATTTCCTGGAAGGAAACCAGCACAAACTCAGGGCTGAACAGTCGCAGCTTCGTTTCGTGACGGGCGTCGGATGAAGGAGCGGAGTCGTCGGCGCCGCAGGTGAACACGCAGCTGCCAGCAGACAGGCGGGCGTGAAGCTGCGGTGAAGAGCGAGGAAAACGGTGGTTCTGGAAACATCCTGCTGGCTAATCTCTGCTCAACTTGCTTGTTTTTCTTGAGAACCGGAAAAGTGAGAAATCGTTTCTGAGAAAACCCCGGAGAAGAGTCAGGTGAGTCGGTGAAGTTTGTTTTAGCTGAGCGTGTGCTTTCACCTGTCAGGTGGGTGTAACCTCTTTAGAAGGTCCTTCACCTTTAACACAACGAGCGTTACTTAAGAAAACCTCAATTAAACGATAAAATTATTATTAGCATCTTCCATAAACCAGTCAGTGTTTTAGAGAAACATCAGCCTGAAAGAAAAATTTAAAATTATTCGCTTGCGCTCCTCGAGGGCCTGCAGCTAAAACTGAAACTGCAGAACTTATTTGTAACTAGATATTTATTTTTATGGCTGTTATGGAAGAATAACTGAACGAGGACATGAAAGACGTTTTCATAAAACATCCAGAACCAGAAGCTGAAAACAAAACTTTTATATTTTCAAACTGTCACGAGTCGGTGGCTCGTTTTTTTTATGGTGCACCGAGCTGCTGCAGTCCAGTCCATGGTTCCAATTGTTCAGCCTGCGTGCACGTGGATCTGCTGTTTTGTCAAAGCTTTAGTCGTGCACAAGTGTGCATTTGGTCTTTACATCTACACTAAAATGATTTTGTTTGGACGAGACAAGACTCCACAGCAACGTCCGGCGACAGGCGCACCTCTTCAGGTAAGTTCAGCCCGTCCGGCAGCGTCCCTCAGACGTAGGAGGAGCGTCCCCTGCAGCTAATATACAAATAAAACAAAGATAGATCCAACAATGTTCAGTCAGATCATCTGGACAGTTTCTTTTTTTTTTGTTGAGACGTTTTGCCCTTCATCAATCTGAGGAGTCAAACAAACCGTTTCCCCACTAAGCAGTACGCCCCTATAGTTTACCTGGATGATTGAGCATGAACTTTGATGTCTTGAACCACTTTGGCTGTGGCTGCCTGGGAGGAGTCGACGGGGGAGAGGACGACCCCCAGAAACCATCTTATCACCATCAAACTGGTTGGTGCACTATACAAGTGTACTGCTTGGTGGGGAAACAGCTTGTGACTCCTCAGACTGACGAAGCCCTTTGGATGAAGGGTGAAACGTCTCAACAATGAAAGAAACTGTCCAGAAGACCTGACTGAACATTGTTGGATTTTTTTACCTGGACGATTGAGCACGAACCTTAAAATTAAAGACAGAGGTAAAAAATAATAATAATACTGAAAGGAATGTATTTTGTTTTTGTATAAATATGAGCTGAGCTGTATTTATAGTCAAAACACGGAATACGTATTTCTGAGCTATTTAAATTTGGGGAAACTGGAAACATGGAGGACAAAAGTTCAGCTCACGATCTACTGAATGTCAAGTTTTCACTTCTACGCCCAAATCCATGGAGCTAAAACACCATTTCCTGTCAAACTGTATTTTTCATCAATTCACCTAAAGAAACGAGTTCTTTGTGCCGCGCAGTTTAAACTTTAGGTTGTCGACACACCCTCTGGGTTCAGGAGCCTTAAAGACAACTGACCATGTTCAGGTTCAGGGACTGAAACTGAGTGAACAAGCAGCCAGAGTCTAAAGAAACTCCTGATTAAAAAGAAACCCTGAAATATTCCAGGAAAGTTTGGCTGCTTGGAAAGAAAAGATAAATCAGAGGACTGGGTCAGTTTAGTTCACCCAAATCCAGGAAGTCCTGGTTTTCAACACTGTTAGTCATTATCTGTTATTATTTTGTTTCTACATTTTGATTTCACGTTGTGTGTTGCTGTGTGCTTTGCCCATTTCTGCTTGTACAGCACTTTGGTTGGCCCTGTTTAAAGTGCTTTATAAATAAAATGGTACAGTATTAATTATTATTAACGCTCAGTCTTTGGTCTAAATGTTTAACTTCCTCCCAGCTGGACCAGTTTCTGATCGCTGCTTCAACAGAAACATAAAGAGTAACTTTTCACCAGTGAGCAGAGAGAAGCGACAGTAAAGAGAAAACCGCTTCGAGACGATTTGTGTGAGAATGTGTCCTCGGTTGTTTCCTTTGATTGTTTTACAGCCTGACCAACAGCCGAGGCAGTAAAATAATCTTAAAATGATTAAATCATCCATAAAACCTGTTGATTAGTGTTTCGGTCGAGCCCGAGTTAAAAGATCCAGTTTTATGTCTTTATCTAAAGGCAGAAAAACAATCAAAGTCTAGTTTTATTTTATGGAAAACTTGTTTATTGGGTGTATTTTTGTTTTTATTTTTGTTATGTTCTTCTGGCTACAGTCGAGACCAGATATTTATGGAAACCAGAAGAGCGCCTGTAAAAAAACAAAAAAACACTTTCTTCGTGGTGGTGCGCCGGCTCGAGGCCGAGACTGACCCGACCCGTTAGACTCGGCGCTGCAGTGGGAAATTTAGTCCAAACGAAGAAACTAATCGATGCAGGTTGCAGACCCAGACGGAAATCAACACCAGACGTGCGTCGGCTCGGTTCCGTCTACTTGTAGAACTCGTGCTCCTGCTCGTCCTTCTTGATGACGGTCTTGTAGGCCTTCTCGAAGTCCTTGGCGAGAACGATGTACCTGTTCTCACGCACGGCCAACATGCCGGCCTGAGACGGAGGAGAGACCAAAATGAGCCAGGAGTTTATTTTGAAGAGTTCTGTGAACAACCGAAGCTTCAGCTCACCTCCTGGCAGATGGAGTTGATGTCGGCTCCAGAGATCTTATCGGGCCGGGCGACATCTGAACCACCGTTAAAGAGTAGAACACCAGAATCAACCAGAAACTCGTACAGGTATTAAAGGCCGACTTGCACCGCCATTAAAGGCTAACTCGAACTGAGATTAAAGGCCGACTTGGGAGGACTCCCGCAGCAATTAAACAAGTCGTGCTGCAATTAAAGGCCGACTCGTACGGAGATTAAAGATGGCGGATCTCGGATTGACTACTGCAACTCCCTTCTTTATGGCCTCCCCAACAAATCTCTCCAGAAGCTGCAATTGGTCCAGAACTCAGCTGCCCGTGTCATCACTCAAACCTCCTCCTATAACCACATCACTCCAGTCCTGCAGCAGCTCCACTGGCTCCAAGTTAAATCACGCATCGTCTTCAAAATTCTTCTTCTCACTTTCAAAGCTCTCCACAACCTTTCCCCTCCGTACTTATCTGACCTCCTACACATCTCCATCCCCTCTCGCTCTCTCAGATCCTCCTCTTCACTACACCTCCATGTACCCTCTGCCCACCTCTCCACCATGGGGAGCAGGGCCTTCACCTGCTCTGCCCCTCATCTCTGGAACTCTCTACCCTCTGACTTAAGAAACATCACCTCTCTTTCTCTATTCAAGACTGCTCTGAAAACACATCTCTTTAGACTCGCTTATCCTTAACTCTGCTGTATGTATTTTATATTCTTTACGCATTTTATATTCTGTATGTATTTTATATTCTTTATTCCTGTTGATCTTTGTTCTTACTGTAAAGTGTCCTTGGGTGTCATGAAAGGCGCTTTTTAAATAAAATGATTATTATTATTATTATAAAGGTCGACTTGTGCGGTGATTAAACGAGTTGTGCTGATATTAAAGGCCGACTCGTACTGAGATTAAACGAGTTGTGCTGATATTAAAGGCCGACTTGTACAGAGATTAAAGGCCGACTCGTACCGTGATCAAAGGCCAACTTGAGAGGACTCCCGCAGCAATTAAACAAGTCGTGCTGCAATTAAAGACGGACTCACGTGGTGATTAAAGGCCGACTCGCGCGGCGATTAAAGAGCGAGTACTTCTGACATTAAAGGCTGCTCCTACAGCCATAAATACCTGAATTTTATTCCTATTAAGAGATTTTAAAAAATGAGGTAGGAAGATTATACTCCAAATAAAACCGATGAAATTCATTTAGCATCTTTTGTTGCTGCTCTCGTTTCTCTGATGAATCGAGTCGTTAGCGTAACAAGGTGCAAACCAGAGATGCACAACTTCACAGCAGATGTTCAGACAGTCGCCCAAAAAGCTGAGGATCTTTTTAACGACTCGTCTAAAAAAAACTCAATTAAAAGAACTGTTGTACTGAAAAATGAAAGAACAATTTCATTAGAAAAAATGTAAAATATTCAGTGAAGAACAGAGCAAGCCTTTGCTGAAAATAAAATCTAGTAATGATTATTTCATGTTCCCCTGATTTAGTCTCTTTATCTGCTGAAACTTATCTGTTCGTTCGGGCTGAAAAACTGAAGAAATGCAGATTAAATTAGAAGGCAGAACAACAACAATCTGCTTCAGCTAAAACAAAATCTCCCTCATGAGAAGTTCAAGCAGGTTTTGTTGACCCGAACCGATGCTCTGTTTTCTGAGCGTGGAGCCCGATTCTGACAAAAACACCTGAACATCGTTAGGACAAAGGATACAGTCCTCCAGGTCGACCTCCTCAGACAAATTCATTTTACTGGTGATGGTGGAGAAAATGAGACGCTTCTGTCTGCGGTCGGGCAGCGGGAACTCGATCTTTCTGTCCAAACGTCCCGGACGGAGCAGGGCGGGGTCCAGGGTGTCTGCTCTGTTGGTGGCCATGATCACCTGAGCGCAGGAGGAGGGGGTGGAGTCACGCGTCATTGAGGAGGTAAACATCTGGATGTAAACTTTTAAGTTTCAAAAACACTTTCCAGACCTAATTTAAAGTAAGTTCCATGAAAGTTTACAGGAGAGAATTATAGAATTTAAAAAAATGACCTTTAATGCCCATTTTGTTATTTTAGTGTTTGTTGTCTCCACACTTTAGTTTGCGAAGACGTTTTAAAAAGATTACCGCAGAAGGGCTCCCAGATGTTTTATAAACCTTTTTTAGGCCTGTGGTACCGTCTGCCGGCAGCTGCACCGTTCAGATAAGCGGGTCCGTCATTCACAGGAGCCATTTGAGACGCTGCAGGGTCATGTTTTGTGTTTGACGGCGAGCAGATTGTGCCGGGAGGAGCCGATGAAGGTGACTGATTCAGTGCAGGAGCTGTAGACCTAAATCAGGACGTTCTGACCCGGACACTTCGCCCAGCAGGTGGAAATGATGTGCTTTTTGTGGACGGTTTCAGTGTCTGGACATTTAAAAGCTTCAACCTGCCCCACAGTCCGACTGTGGATTCTGAGCAGCTGAAGATGTTTTAGCTCTTCCTCCACGGTTCAACCCTTTTGTCCCAAATGATTCATGGGAGGTAAACCATGAACTGGAGCCCAGAACAGGAAGTGCACCCACCGTTGGTTGCAGCCCTAATGATCTGTGTGACATGTGCTCTGACTGGTTGAACAAATCATTTTCAGATTTATATCTTTAAAAAAAAAATGAGACGGGGGATAATCTGGAAACGCAAATGTTTCCAATCTGAAACGTTTCAACTTGGTAAACCCCCATTGCATGCTGGGAGTTTTCTTCGTGTAGGTCTGCTGCATTAAGAACTGCTCTGAGGCCAAAAGTCCATTGGATGTTATCGGCAGCACGAGGCAGTTGGATGCTCTTTAAGCTGAGTGACAGAGCGAGTGGATCACCGTCAGCACACACCGGAGCGTAAAGAAGCAGGCGGACTCACCTTGACATTGACGTTCTGATCAAAGCCGTCCATCTGATTCAGCAGCTCCAGTAAAATCCTCTGCACTTCTCTGTCAGCTGCAGAGAAAACACCAAACCGTAAATAATTCACGCCGCCGCTGCTTTTAACCAGAAGAAGAAAAAAAAAAAACCTGACAGGCCGTCAGCTTGTACCTCCGGTCTGAGCGTCAAATCGCTTCGTGGCGATGGCGTCGATCTCATCGATGAAGATGATGGCGGGAGCGTTCTCCTTGGCCAGCCTGAAGACGTCCCGCACCATGCGAGGACCTTCACCCAGATACTTCTGGACAAACTCCGAACCCACAACACGGATGAACGCCGCTGAGGCAGAGGGGACGAAGAGGAGTTAAAATCAAACGGTACTCTGAATTATTCTGTTGAAACGACACATTTTAGGTTTAATCTGGGGATTATTCAGTCTTTGGACCTGAACATTAGCAGAGGAATCTTTCCAACTCTGACCTCACTGGAACAGAAAAAGGCTCCTAAGCTTAAGGGATGAACCGGTGTTGTGGCAACATTTTAGAGTTCAACATTTTGGGAACTCCATTTGTCGCCAACATTCCCAACCCAGTGAGACCAGCTCTGTAGATCCAGCAGCTCCAGTAAAATGTGGTGCGTCACTGAGCTGGAGAAGAGTGAGTGATGCAAACTTGCAAGAAAATACATGAATTTTCCATTACAGTCTCACGGAGCTCTGGGTCCGACCACGTGACCAGTGAGACCAGTGTTGGAAACTGACTTGAAAACGGTTTTCTAAGCCCGACAAGTTGTTTTGGTGTCCACCTTGAATTCAGTTCAGTTTATTTATAAAGCAGAAGTCATCTCAGGGCACTGAACAGAAACAATCATATATAAAAATAATAATTTAACACTATAACACTGTTTAACATTATTTACCTTGCAATCCACCTCCAAGTTTATGATTTAATCTACTGGAGTACACTTTAGAAATTAAGGTGGGCAGATTTACATAGTTTTTTGGGACGTATTGTCTCCATTTCTTCAGCCGAATCAATAAACAGAAAACAGGACTTTAGCTCCAGCAAGAGGATTCTTAAAGAACTGTTAGCTGAAGGATGACAGATCTGTCGGACTTTGATGGATTCACAACCACCCCTCCGATCGGCTTCATGTCTCCAACAAACCTTTTTGTGTCTAAACAACGTGACGCACGTCTCACCTGTAGTGTGGTGGGCCACAGCCTTGGCCAACATGGTCTTCCCGCAGCCTGGAGGTCCGTACATGAGGACCCCTCTGGGTGGGTCGATACCAATCTGAGGAACAGAACAACAGATCAGTTTAAAACAAATAGATTCTCCTGGTTGGTCAATCTGTGCCACTAAAGATAAGTTATTCACGGTTTGACTACACAGACGTTTAGCTGCAGAACCTGTTCATGGTCTGCAGTTCTCCTCAAAATGTCTGAAACCTAAAGGCATCAACGATTGCAGCACGAGACAATAAACTTGTAAAAGTCTCACGGAGACGACTTTCTGCAAGTCTGAAGATCGTTTTAAAGATTTATAAAGTTCTGAACAGCCAAACCTGATGTGAGGTCAGAAGATCTAAACCTGAAGCTGTAACTCTCTGGGTTTCTGTGCTGGTTTTATAATAATAATTTTGAAACAACGATGAAGACGATGAAGATCTGACCTGTTTGTAGAGCTCGAAGTGAGTGAGAGGCAGCTCCACGGCCTCCCGGACCTCCTGCTTCTGGATGTCCATCCCACCAATGTCTGCGTACATCACATCGGGCTTCTGGTCTGAAAACATGGAGAGGGTGTTACTCAAGAGTGCAGGAACATCAGAGCGGTCCTGTTCCTCAGAACATCAGGGCGGTTCTGCTGTTCCTAAGCCGGGTCGCAGAACACAGCGTACCTGACGTCAGCATCATGATGCTGCTGTCGGCCTCAGGAGGAAGGACGTCCACCAGGGCGTTGCTGTGTTTGTGGAGCGCCACTGAGGCGTTGGGCTTCAGCAGCTCGCGGTCGATGGTGCTCAGGATGCGCACGTAATAGTTGGAGCCTGAAACAAGAGGAAAAACAGAACTGAAGGACCGGACTCTTCACAGACTAAATGTTAAATAATCCAAAGCTGACAGAAGGAAATACAAATCCTGAGTTTTACTAAACGCTCTGAACATAAAAACATTCAGACTAACAGCTTTAATATGTTTTATGTTTAAACTTTACTCTCATTACATCATCTCACACTAAACATTTAATGCAATGAACAAGTTTTTGTCTCGATATTTATCAATTTTTGTGGATTTTACATTTATTTTTTCCTAAATTCTTTGGTTTTACAGTAATATTTATTGAGTTTTAGTTCACCTGCAACACTTTTATATTTTAACGTTTGTGAAGCCCTTTGGTAGACGAGCGTTGCTTTTTAAAACGGGTTCAACTTTGACTTAAATTTATTGAATACACGGACACATATAACAGCAGTACTGATTACACAGAACCCGACAGCTTGTAAAATGTTCTTTACTGCGTGTAAATACGACAGAAGCGTTAAAGAAAACTTTTCTGAGAAAATATCTAAAAACCTGAACAATGAAATTCTCCACTTTATGACTCAGTAACAGAAGAATAAAGTTTTCTTATTAGATGAGGACAAAAACTTTTGTTTTTCATTTCTAAAAGATGTAAAATATTCCGTTAGTTGGTTTTTTTTAAACAAAATTCAATGCGTTCAATAGTGTTCTAGGTCTGATCAAGACTTGTGATCCCATGACAGGAAAAAAAAATCAGGAGATAAAACATTTTTGAGCAAACTTATAAAATTAATATTTTTGTTTGTTTGCTTTTTGGGTTTCTTTTGGAAAATGTTCATCTTCCCTCAATATTTAGTCACAGTCAAGACAAAAATAAACATTTGATCAAACTTGAACTCGAACCCACAGAAACAGCCGAAGTGTGTGTTTGTTAACCCACAGAAACA